TTCACAGCCCAGAAAGCCAACTGTATACTGGGCTGCAGGTCGACCAGCAGGTCGAAGGAGGTGATCCTGCCCCTCTACTCTACTCTTATGAGACCTCACCTGGAGTATTGTGTGCAGTTCCGGTGTCCTCAACATAAAAAGAACAGGGAACTGTTGGAACAAGTGCAGAGGAGGGCCACAAGGATGATCAGGGGACTGGAGCACCGCCTGTATGAAGATAGGCTGAGAAAGTTGGGGCTGTTCAGCCCGGAGAAGAGAAGGCTGCATGGAGACCTCATAGCAGCCTTCCAGTATCTGAAGGGGGTCTGTAGGGATGCTGGGGAGGGACTCTTCATTAGGGACTGTAGTGATAGGACAAGGGGTAATGGGTTAAAACTTAAACAGGGGAAGTTTAGATTGGATATAAGGAGGAAGTTCTTTACTGTAAGGGTGGTGAGGGAATGGGTTGCCCAGGGAAGTTGTGAATGCTCCATCCCTGGCAGTATTCAAGGCCAGGTTGGACGAAGCCTTGGGTGACATGGTTTAGTGGGAGGTGTTCCTGCCCATGGCAGGGGAGTGGAATTAGATGATCTTCAGGTCCTTTCCAACCCTAACTATTCTATGATTCTGTTCTATGATTCTGAATTTGCTTAATCAGGCTTAACAGAATGAGGGTGCATGGGGATGTGTGCGAAAGCACAGGCATTTGTAATTAAGTCCAAAATGGCAAATTTAAGAAATGTGTCATTGGAATTCATTATGCACTTTAGGTTACTTAAATTCATATATCAAGAATAGTTTTGTTTCTTCAACAAGTCTGATGTACGTCTACTCAGCTTCAGACCCAAGTGGTATTATTTGGATCTATTACACTGTCCAAGAAGTTTTCCTCTTTAGCTAGGAGTTTCTCACTTTATAAATTTAATCACCTAAAATTAATTTCTATCAGTGTTTCTCATCAGATCATAAATGAATATTTTAATAACAAGGACTGAAGCAGACAAACAGAAGTATGCTACCTCTTCTTTAACCATTGTTCTGACGTGTTACTCCTACAAGTTGATGGGCAGAGATTAATGAATGCAGTAAATACTAGTCCAACCCAAGGGAACAGTTGAGTCAAAGCATAGTCTGTAAAATACAGAACATAGCAAAGCTCACTGAATTCAAGTTCAGTACTGTACATGATGTTGGAAGTTCTTGGATTGCACATGGAAAAATTTAAGCTACAGGCATTATTTTGTGTGAAACATTACCTTTTCTGTTCTGTAACTATCCAGCATCAATCTTGAATTTAAAAAGTAAAAATAAAAAAATGTAGCTTATATATGTGCATGTAAAAGTGTAATGGGTGCTCCTTGTCATAACACCACTCATGGTATAAAGTTATTACAGTTATTACAGTTTTGTAGGAACTGAGAATCTAGTTCCTTATGCTTTCTGTGCCGTATGCAGACATGCTGCAAGATAAACTATGTTCTAAATACTTTGTCCTCAAGCTGCTGCCTACTTCAGTTTGAATTTAATTTTCATGTAGTCTTCACAATGATCAGGTATGCCAGAAGGTGCTATATTTATTTAATGCAGAGATTTGTGCTGATTCCATCTGCTGGTAGAGTTTACCCAGAGCCCCCAACAGGAAGGTTTGCTATATTCCAGGCATTTTTCCCTCTTGATTTACTTACCCTCCTTCCAGCCTGTACACATGCTGTGCATGCTTTTCAGATCGAGTAAGTGAGAGGCTGGGTGACAAATTAGACTGGAAGCATCTGTTTCTGCTTCTATGCTGGAAATGCTGAGACAAAAAATATACTGTATGTAAAATGAGTTAGCACATTTATCCAACTTTTCTTTTGGAGATGATGCTTCCACTAGATGAATTGTCCCTGAAGTTGGGCTACTACTGAAAATAAATTTTGTATTTTATGGCGGAGTAGAAGAAAGTAATAACACAGATGTACCATAGAGGATATAAAGATTCCTTGGAAATATGTGAGAAATCCATATTTTAGTAACTGAACATACTGAATAGGGTTTTTTAACTGGGTCTGAACATTTGGGGGTTTTATATTAGCAGTCTTGAAGATTGGGACTTCTCTGTTTCAATATAGGTTTAGGAACCCATGTTAGTAAATATTTGCCCTCACAATCAAACATTCCAGTATCTGATTTTCAAGCCCCTAGGTTTTTAACATTTCTATATTATTTATTTTAGTTTTGAAATTATTTTTCAGTTTGTCTGGCATCTTATAGTTTATCAAGCTATTGATTTAGTAAGATACTGCTTTCCAAATATATGTTTTCTTATGTGCTCTCTTTAAAGAATTCTATTCCATAAATATTGTGCTTAGATGTTTGCATTGGGAAATTAAAAGCAGGTTGCTGCTTAGAAAATAAAAAGACAAGGAGTAATAACCTTTTTTATGTCAGTAGTACCATAAGCTTTTCTTGTACAGCATAAACCCTAAAACTAACGCAGTTTTAGATGCTTAGGAGCTCCTTCATTGTAAAATGTCCAAGTTGCATTCGGATTGGTGTGGTTCTCTTATAGTCAGTAAAATCCTGACACTTCTCAGACTAGGCATTTGAAGAAATTTTGTATGTTCAGCTTTAATGAAGTTAAATGTATGAATAAAAATGTGCAATACTGAGACCACAATGAGGTCCTGCTTCTCATGTCTTGAAGACTCATTGCAGAGAAAGGAGATTAGTATGTATTACATTAGCTTTCCCTTGAGTAGAAAACCAAAGGTTATAATTTGTGTGGTATTGAGTAGATTATGCTTTGTAAGTACTAAGCTTTTATACTTAATTCCTGAAGCCACAAGTAATCTTAAAAGATGTCTAATAATAATTTGAATTGAAAATGCATTTATTGGCATACATAAAAGGCAGAAGATCATGTCATGCTGATGCAGTATGTGGTGTTTGTTCTTCGCTTACCTGCACTGCTGCTGTAAAATGGAGAGTGCTTCTGCTCAATAAACTTTCAGTATATCAAAAAACCTAAAAGCATTCTTAATTTAATAATTACTATAGTATTGTATCTTCTCTGGTTGGCAAGAGAAATGTGTGGCATTTGATAACACATATGATCATGTCAAACATACAGGCTTGTATTCCACATTGCTTTGTGGATCACCTCTTTATGAATGCTCTAGCTTTTAAAAGAGAAACTAATCACATGTTTAGTTAAGATAAATACTGACATTGTTTCTTGCTAAATGTCCCTGCAGACTGTGTGCAGGAAGACTGCAACTCAAATTTCACAAGTTTTTTGGTTTTCTGGATTATTTTTCTCTTCTGGGTAGTTGGAGACATGAGGTAGACTCAAATCCCAGTCTAATATAAAGTCCTTGTGTAGACTTGAGGTTGTATGAATTAATAATTACCTTTAGTAGTACTTTTTTGTTTTGCCTTTTCTTGTGGCCCACCATCTCTGACAGAGTATTTATATTCCCCAGAGCTAACATTCTTTACCTACTTGGATTATCAGTTTACAAAGCTACAGCTGTTCTTACTGTGTTTGTACCAGTGCTATGATATACCGAATAGGAAGGGGATTCTGATCTCAGCTGCACCATTGTAAAATATAGTTTTACATGTGACCCACTTCTGCTGACATCAGTTGAATTTCTCTGGAATTTCATAGCCACAACTGAGATCAGACTTTAGTCTTAAGCCTCACAAAGTTTTTCAAAACCCTACAACATCTCTTACTTAAATTGTTGTAGCAATTCTTTCTGGCAAAAGCTGCAGGTAATCTCATGTTTGGATTTCAGTTAGAAGTTCGTTTTTGCATAGGCCCATGGGGTTCGGGTTTGGTTTGTTTTTTTTTGTTGGTTTTTTTTTTTCACAGTTCTCATTTTTAGGCTGAAGTTGTAAATCTGTGCTCTCAGTCACTCACAGCTAAAGCAAATAAAGAGTTTTAAAGACCTAATGCAGGACAAAGGTGTTTTATTGAGCACTGGATAAAGCTTCCCCACTCCTGCCACTGCCCCCATCCTCTTCCATTGCTGCTTAATTTTGGAAGCTCATAAGCTCATTACCCACCTGCTGTTTTGACTAGAGAGTTCATGCGTGGGGTAGAACGCCTGGTGTGGATAGCACAGTGCCTCCCTTGGCCTTTCACCAGGCATGAGCTAAAAGTAGTAGTGTAGAGTCCCTCGAGGACCCCAAAGTAAGAGGCAGCCTCAGCTCATGCCAGTGTAGATCTGACTGGGTAAGACTTTTCACCAAATACTGTATGTTGTGGGGAGATACCTTGGCAGTAGCTTCTTTTTGCTTTTTATATCATAGCTTAGCATTTGTCATGCCTAAGGAGTGAAAGCAATGGGAGCAATTTCCTCCTCCCTGAGGAATTCAAATCTGTCTCCACCTCATCAAAACATCTCCTAACTACCCAAGAACTCTGCCAGCTCTGGACACCCCTCTTTGGTTTGAAACTCTTCAGTTTGAAAAAAAAGAAAGCAAGTCATCAGTAAGTTGATATAGTCTTGTGGTTAGAGCACTGGGTCAGGTCAGAAGTTTGAGACATGGTTGTTATTACCAGAACTCAAGATTTGTTGATTGATAGCTTGGTGTAATGTGTGGAGAAGACTTCCCCTGCACTGCCTGTGCACCTGTATATTATGTAGTAAAATTTTAGTTCCAAATTTGTTGGTCAACCTTTGAATTGGTATTTCTGTAAAGGGATACCAAAATGAGCACGTTTTCCAATTATTACCTTCTCAGTATATATTTGATACTAATATTCATCTTGCAAAGAGAGGTTACAAGCAAAACTTCACTGAATATTGTTAGAAAAATAGTAACGCAGAAGATAGCAACAGCCATATTTTAGCATATCTCAGCCTGCTGTATCTTATTTTCAGTGGGACTGATGCTAAAGTTCTATATAAATTTTAATTGAGTCTGCTCTGTTGTCTGATTTACCTAAAAGTTGTGTTCATTTGCTCTTCCGTGAGAAACAGAGGGAAAAAAAGAATTCACTACATGAACAATTGTCTCTTTGTTTGAAGGTTCAAGCTCAAGTGCGACATGCAAAACTCAACTTTGACAAACTGAAAACTGATGTCTGTCAAAAAGTGGATCTTTTGGGAGCGAGCAGATGCAACCTCCTTTCTCATGTGTTAACAACATATCAGGTATCCAATGAAAACGTTGACCTCCAAAATATTTACTGTTAATATATGTTTTTTTAAGAGGTTACCATGGCAATATTCAACTGTAAGAACTGTAACTAGTATTGGAGGGGAGATGTGAGATTTTTACTGAAAGCAGATAGGTATTAAAGCTAACATTGCATTGAAATTTCATCCTACCTTACAGATAACACTTCTTCATTTTTGGGAAAAAACTTCACACACGATGGCAGCCATCCATGAAAGTTTCAAAGGTTATCAGCCATACGAATTCACGATGTTAAAGGTAAGGAATATAGAGATATGTTCCTGCTAACTGGGATTTTGTTTGATTATTCCAAAAGAATGATAAAATGCAGCGGAATTAGGAAATTATGTTGCTCTCCAGAATCATGCAAGTGAATTAATGCTATTTTGCCTTTTCATCTGTTTTTTTAAAACTCAGACTCTTTAAGAACACTTTATTGGCTAAATACTAGTACATGGATGAGTTACATGGTTTCCACACCTGTACTGAGACTTTTTAACCCTTCAGTGCTCTGGGAAATAGTTTTGCTTGACTAGTGGTATTTGCTGTTTCTTTGTAATCTTGAAGTATGGAATATATTTGATATCTGGCTGTAATCTGAGTTCAGAGTTTCACCAGGTATCTAAAAGTCATCACTCAGCATTGTGTATTTTCCTGGTCATGCCTGCCCCTTCATGGTTGCTTTGCCCCTTGCAATTTGAGGTTCAGTAGAGGAACGTGAAAACAGGAAAAAAAAAATTATCATATTTCCAGTTATCCCATATTTTGTGCAACATGATAACTATTGGCTGATCCTATTTGCATGGGAGAAAAATAACATTTGTCTGAAGGATATATGAGGGAAGGGTTAGCACTGGAAGGAAAGTGAGGAATGAATGACTTGCAGCAGACACTGCTTGACTGAAGAGACAACCCAGTTTGAAAACAATTACAAGTCATAGCCTCAATCCATGAAATGCGTGTGCATTTGACACTTAGAAGTGGAAGTTGAACTGCATTATGCTATTTAGCCTGCAGCTACCCCAGAGCTCCTGGAAAAGAAGCACCAGAAGGTATATGGTTTAATTCACCCCAGACTACCAAACTTGTCTGTACATGACTATGCTATATTTAAAGTTGTTTTCTAGAATGTGGGTTGGGAGGGAGCAGTTTCTGAACTTTGAAGTGCATAAAGAGCTTGTGGAGGCTGTTACTTCTGCAGCATGAAACATCACAATAGACCAAACAGACAAATTTTAAGCTCAGTCTCTCTTGACAAAAATGAAGAGGCTTATAGATTGTTTCATCTTACCCAGCCTCTGAAGAAACCTGTTGTGCAGGAAAAGACCTCATTTGCTATGAAGTTAACATAACTAAGCTTCTTTCTTGGATAGCGCATGTCGTGGAAGATGGGGTTTAGCCAGAGCTTGTTTCAGCAATCTGCCGGAGTAGATTTCAGCAGGAGACAGTAGGGCATAGTTACCTTGACATTGCTAGTAATTACCTACACACTTACCAATTAAATTCCAAACCAAAAAAGAAAATCCCCTTTATTTCCTCACTGTTGCTTCTGATGTCTAGTTCACAGCCTGGGTTTTGCATGGCCAGGATTTACCCTGCTCAGGAGCCTGGGTGTCGTGCTTGTGGACTTTTTTCATAGCTTCCCAGTGTTAGAAGGTTTCTGAGGAAATTTTTTCCCTTTGCTTTAATGCAAACCAATTTCATTCTGGTTTGTGTAGGTAGCCTGTGTTGTTGCTGGGTATTCGTTCTCTTTTATATCTAAAAATTTGATTATTTGAACAGGATGTATGATTTTTCAAAAAGCATAGTAACATTTGGACATTGGAGAGAAACCTGTAGAGAAAATTCACCTGTCGTGGAGAGTGAAATACCCTTGTGATGGAGGATGAGAGAGATTTGGGGATGTTTGTTATCTTTTGAACTTCCTTCTGTGAAAGATTTCAGTATGATCTAAATTTGAAATTAGATTGGAAAACTGTGATGAAGAAATACAATCTGTATTGAGTCGACACATATGTAACAAGCACACCCTTGAAGCAAAAAGTAACTGTAATAATGGTTGTGAATATTGTAGTGTGTTTAGGATGCAGCCTGACTTTGTTATGAGAATCTTAACCATTTTCATTGCTGGCCTCCTGCACTGAAAAGATACAATTTCCTGGTTTTGCAGTGAAATGTATGCTGAGAAATTATGCTAATCAGAGGTAATTTTATGCTACAGAATTTCATGGAAGTCTGTGGTTTCATAAAACAGCTATAATAAGACTATGTTACTACCTTTTAGTTCTTTATTTCTTTCGGTCTCTAGAGCGTGGGATTATTTCCTATACCAAGTCTCCTCCATGATCTCTTTTCACCCAGTTAGTAGTTCCTGTTTGTTTATGTTAAATGAGAAGATTAAATCAAAATCTGGTGGTTGCATCAGGTGAGATTCTGTTGCCTAGGAGAATATATGTCTGCTGATACTCCAGGTGCCTTACTAGGGTAAATCACCTCACCTTCAGTTGTCATTTCTGAAGGGTGTGGGACTACTGTGGGTCCCATGTCTCCTCTGCTAGACCTGGGTGTGGAATAACAATAGATATTTATGCTTAGGGAACTGATCTCTCCCATTCATATCATATGTTTATGCCAGAGTAATTATATATTAAGAAGGAGATGCAAGATAATTCTATATTGAGATTACATGGTATTATTTTTTATGAAGTTTAATAAATAGCTGTAAGAGATCTAGGCAAGTGTAGTTCCTCATGGAGAAACTTTTGGTCTAAAAATATACCAATTGAAGAAGCTTTACACATTAAAAAATATATAATCCAAATATATAATAGCTTAAAACACACATAAAATATTTCAGCGTGCCCATTTCTACATTAAATTGGGAGGTACCCCTTTTAGAATATTCTCCCTATGTTGTATCTTAGAAGGGATCTTTCCTAAAAGAATTTTTTTAGTTTGGTACTTGCAAATAATTTTTGTCTATTATGATTCCAGTAGCAATCTAGCAGCTTAATTCACCTTTTGCTGCAAGTGATTCTTTTGAATTAAACTAAGCATGTGTGTACGTAGGATTAGCATTTTACTTTAAAACAAGAATGTAAAGAAACTATTAATACTTGATTTAGATGTAGATTGTCTTACTGAAAAATTAGAAGGTGCTATGTACTGGAAGATTACTGTCTGTATTTAGTAGTATGAATATATTCATGTACCAGGTTTACCTCAGGAAAGAGACTCTTAAAAGCCTCTTGGGATTGTTTCTGGAAAGAAAACATTGTCTTTAGAGATGTTTGCCAAAACTCACTTAATGAAAAACAGCCCATTTGTTTTCTTTGCTTCAGGGTATATGCTGAGAGTAGTATAATCATGCTATTGCAGCTGTATTTCCTAACTTCGAGTTTCATGCTTGATGAAGGATGATTATTAATGTGCTAACAACTCTGTATTGTGATGTAAAAGTATCTGAAGTATCTATTACTGTATCCATTGCTGTACTACTAAAGATGATGAGTTGATGTTTTGGTAAAGCCTTTAAAGTTTCATTCTCTTGAAATTACTATATATTGCATGAATTCAAATTTATTTCAGGGGCTATTTTTCAGGAATAATACCTCTTTTTAATTTCTGTCTCCATTTATTTACCTTAGTTACTTAATGAATAATTAGTTACATTTTTTACATTTTAATGTATATTACCTAACTTCCTGAAGAGTTCATATGAGTCTAGAAATAATAACAGTTCTGGTAATAGAGTCAAAAGGTGTATTTCTCAGTGCATCCATTTATTTCTGTGCAAAGTGAAACACTGTGCTCCTTACATGGTTTGGAGAACCCTGTCCAAGCAGGTACTACAATACTGTTGCCTCATGCTGATTTCTGCTGTAGTCGGGTATACTTTCTTTTTTTTATCCTATCCTTTGTTGCATGTTGACTTTATTCACAGCAATATTGCATATCATTTTCTATCTCTAGGGGTTTTGTGGGGGCATTAGGTGTTTATTGGGTTTTTCCTGATGAATCTCCATGAGGAAATTTTGAGGCTACCTGCTTTTCCCTCTTCCTTTTCAGCTCTCCCCCAAATGAAACCTATCCAAGCTTTTGTCTCCTCAGTGGTGCTGCATTTCTCCACATGTGTCGTGAAGTCCTGGCTCCTGGATCTGCCCTTACTGTGTTGCTTTGATTCTTTCTCAGTCAAAAGGAAGCGCATTAGTTGTCCGAGGCACTTGGGGGGAACTGTGGGCAAGCTGAGTGCTTTGTCAACACTGATGATTTAACTGCAGAGGACAGGTTTTGTGTGCAGTCCAGATGATCTTGGCTTGACTTGAAAGCAGCCCAGATACAGGTGAAGGAATTTTGTGAGCAAATAACAGTCAGCCACAAAGTAGGGCCTGAGCTGGAACCAGAGTTAACTCTGCAGCAGAGGAAGTGCCTGTAATGCAAAGCTATGCTGTCTTTCTCTGCATTGCACTTCTGTACAAGTATAATGCATATTCTTATGTTTTTGAATTCTAATTCAGGTCCTCTTGGAGTCAATGGAATAATTCCCATCAATTTTAATGGTACAAGAAGCAGAACCTAATCAATAGCCAGTACCAAGGCAGTTAAAGGGTAACATATTCCTTCACAAGTGATCTAGCCCGAGGTGACTAGTGTCCATTATTCAGAATCCAGGAAGTACACTTATGTGTGATTCTGGGTAGCACTGTTACAGTGTCAAAAAAGAAAAAAAAAAGTGGCAATCACAGAATAAGGTAAATGTCTTTAATGCCTCTATTTACTATTGCTGCTTTTGTGATACCTCATCTTTGGACATGTCTACAGTGCTAAAGTGGCTTATGACGAATTAATCTGAAGTTCTAGATAGAAAAATAACGTACTAAGAGGAAAAAAATGCAACTGTAGTATACAACAGATCCATTACTTTAGTTTCTGAAACACTGAAGTATACATTTCCTCATACAGACAAGTACTGAGCCAAGCAGAAACTAGAATGCCCCTACTGGGGATTCATCTGTCCTGGTTAACAGGGCAGTGCAAACAAGACCTGTGACATGCCTGGGCCTGCTTTTATTGTAACAGATGGGCTGGAGACTCTTAACTTTTATTTAATAGATGAGATGGATTTAGCAGCCACAGTTTTTCCTTTTTTTTTACTGTTCTGATGAAACATACTACCATTTTGTTGAACTTCCTACATTTTTGTGTTAAGTTCTGCACAAAAGGTGGCTTATTTGGTTTAGCCTCAGCTTTTTGGGGAAAGAGGGGAAGAAGATGAGTGAGATATGCAACTATGAATATCTGTGAGATAAATAAACTCACAAGTAGTCGGGACTATGCACATAAAATGTGGTTTTATTTTTGAGAAACTGAGTTAGGCGTTGGGAATAGGAACATGTTTTCACCTTCACAGCAAAACCATTTGATAAAGCCAAATACCCACATTGCTAACATCTGTGATTATTTAATTACTATATTCAGTTATTTAGCTTTTCATACAGCAGTACTAATTAATGCATAACAGAGACAACCAGTAGTATATGTATCACTCCTGTAGTCTCAGAGAGCTGGTCTATAACGTCTGCTTGTTCACATGTCCAAATTTTGGCTATAAAAGTGCTAACCAGGAAACTGCACATTGTTATCTTGTAGTATGGTCTTTCAGATTGTAAGGCTTCCTAATACCACACCTGGCCTATATTTAACTAACTATCCAACATTTTAACACTTGTTTTCAGATTCAGGATACACACAGTACCTTCCCATTATACTGCAGTTGCCAAGGTTTTGTCAATAGTTGTGTCAGAAAAAAAGAGACTGAAGAAGTAAAGAAGCAGTATATGAGGAATAATCATGTAAAGAATAAATTTCTTCTCATCTTGGGGAAAAAAAAAGAAGGGACTGGGGGGCAAAAAAGGAGGAAAAAAAAAAGAGGCAAAGAACATGATGTCAGTGCCTGCTTTGCACATGGTGTATATGGTTTTACTTAAGAACATTGGAAACAGAACATGAATTTAGAAGTATTCAAGCATCACCTTCTTGTATAAAAGGTGTTCATGTGACTCAATTTGAGTATCTTCAAACATTTTTTTATTTTGCTTGAATCAGATATAGTTTGATACAGCTCAAAACCATTCTTACTAATGTGGGTTCTGTAGTTTGGTTTGGTCTTAAATAACACGCATTCTATTTTGTTATCTTCATTTATATTATGGTTATTATCTAGAGCTTACAAGATCCTGTGAATAAACTAACAGAAAAAGCAGAAAAGGAGGATCTGCAGATTGAAAGCATTAAATCAGTACAAGATCAGCAGAGTCAGTAAGTTGCATGGCCTGTAGATTAATAAGTATTTTTGTCTATAATCTGCTTTCTGGTTGCTAAAGTCACCAAACATTTATAAATAGAAATACAAACGCAGCTAGTCTGATCACACTAGCTAATAGGAAGCTTAATACAAGAATTCCTGAAATGTTGTAATGTGTACATGAATAAATTTTAAGGTGGAATTAAGAGATTTTAAAAGACCCATTAAACCTTTATATGTTTTTCATCTTTCTTAGCCTTCTCTTTATTTTTCAGCTTTTGCTTCATTTTTTCTGTAATTAAAAAAATGGTAAACTACTACACATGGGAGAAGACATATGAGCGTTGTATTTCTCCCTTCTTAGTATCTCCTTTCACCTGGGAATAGGATATGAATTCCTGATTGCTTTGAGCAGCGATTAGTTTTTGTAATGTATACAGCATCAGTTAGTAATCCAATGAAGCAGTAGGTACTTAGGGTAAAGTACATCTAAGTGAGCTGATGCTATCGGGGTTTGAGTTACCTGGTGCTCTGAGGTGAGAGAGGCTCATGAATGAACTGCTATGGGGAGAGGAGAATAGGAGAATGGGATGTGATTACTCCCCTATGGGACCATCAGGATTCAGTTGTGAGGAGATGCAACATTGATATAATCCTGCTGCCACCTGTTGTTTTGACTGTCCCTGTTTCAAGTAACCAGCAAAGGATCAGTTGTCAAAAAAGTAGAGAACAGCTTGACTGATTAGTGGGTTTTGCTCAGCTATTTATAATGGATTTTTTAAGAGTTCTGTTTTCCAGTCCTATTTACTTGTTTAGATTCAAAATCTGACCAAAACCAGTATATAAATTGGTCAGATTTGGTACTATTGAGATTAGAAAGGACTCGGCCAAGTGCCATTTGGCAGGTGGTTGTCTCCACAGCACTTCCTTGAATATGCTGCATCTCATGTGACAATAATAAGTAATTTTATAAACTGTTCTCCTCAGTGTTGAATATAAAGGTCTAGAATGAATTTATGATTTATGCAAGATGTGTGCATGACATGTCATGGTTGTACTTTATTTATAGATTATCTTTTTTCTTGTCTGTCATAAAACTGAGGTGAAAAAATGTCACCATTTTGCTGTCTAAAACAAACCATAAATAAACATCAAAGATTCCAGAAGAATTACACAAAACGAAGCTTTTAAAATCTGAAAACTTTCCATTGACAGTAAACTTTCTTTATACTAGAATTTGGCCTGACTCTAATTTTCCTCTTCTTTGCCACAAGCATATCTTCAGGAGCAGGAGAGGTGATGACTCCTGTCCTGTCACTAGAGGATAGGAAGAATGTGCCTGCACAGGCCTCTTAACCACATCAGCCTTGTGTCTGCTTTCTTCCCTGCTGGTTGAATAGCTTTACACAAAGTAACAGCAGTTAAAAAGTGTTCTAGCAGAAATTCTTTACTGGTTACCTTTTTATAAGAATTGCGTGTAAACCACAGCTTTTTATTCTGTCAAGAGCTTTTTCATCAACACTGCTGTTCCATTTATTTAGAAATCTGCTGCCATGGGACAAAACTCCCCTCACTGTTGATTTTTAGGTTTTTTGTTTGTTTATTTTGAACAGTTGTATCACCTCCATGATAGTTATGAAAGACCAAATCTGGAGAAGCAGGCTACACTATACTTTCCATTACAGACATTTAGTTAGATTAAAAATGAAAGGGTGGTAGGTTTTGATAGTCTTCAATCTAATTTTGGTTTTCAACGGACTTCTGCCAATGAAACATTAAAAGTTAATAGCAGACCACCAGCATATACAGCAAATGTGGGCTCCCATCTGAATTACTCTTGGTTTGTTATTGATATGATTCTTTAATGATATGACCAAAAAGAGAAAAAAAATATTATTCTATAGCCTGAGAATTATTTTATCTTTTTTTTTTTTTTTTCAAATTAAGGTTGATTTCATTAGATGATGAGAGCCATACCAAGGAATCAAACTATTCAGGTATTTTGTTTCTTTTTATCATAACTTCATAAGTGCTGTAATACATGTTTTTTTCCAGTTTTGTTTATTTCCTATTTCCTATTTTCCTGTTTTGTTTATTTCCTATATATTTGCTTCACCCAGCAAATCCCTACAAATGCATGAAACTTAAGGCCAGAAAGATCCATTTAAACTAATCTCTTACATATTATATCACACTGCAATTCATTCAATTATTGTTAGGTAGGTCGAATAGCTTGTCTTCCAAAGCATAATTCTTACATTGGGCATGTCTTCAAGGAAAGAACATACAGATTAATCCCTGGCACTGTTCAAGGCCAGGTTGGACAGGGCTTTGAGCAACCTGGTCTAGTGGGAGGTGTCCCTCTAGATGATGGGCTAGATGATCTTTAAGGTCCCTGTTGAGATCAAGAAAGTAGGCCACACCTAACATCATAGCTGACTCTACTCTGACAATGGGCTTGGACAAGATGACCCTTGGAGGTTCTTCCAGCCTAAATAATGCCATGGCTTCAATATATCTTTTTCTATTAAAGAGAATGGAGGAAAATCATTTTAACATGTGGTGTTCTATCCTCCATGAAGGTACTTAAAAAGTACTATATTAAAATCAAGACTCCTTTCAAATGTCCATTTTGATAGGCTAACTATATTGATGTCTTGAAGACATCTTATCTACTTTATTTATGGAGTTAATTTCTATTCCACTGTACAACATCCCTTTTAAAATCTGAAATATATAACTGGACATTTTTGATGTCTTGTTTCTAGAAGGTAAAATCACATTCCCATTTCTAAATCCAAGGAAATTATCTCATTTTTCTGCAACATCAAGTTAGAAGCTCATTTAAATTTTTTGTTTATCAAGACTTGGCTTCTTTTTGTCACAGCTTTCTAAGACTCGTTCTTCCTTTCTGCAGCCTGACTTATATTCCTTATCCTGGAGGTATAACTTATGAGTTAGCAGTATTAAATTATCCCAGCTTTGGCTACAGCAACTACATGACTGGCCTGAATGACCACCTCTAATAGTCTGTTAGTTGTTTGCACATTTTTTTCAAGAGTGATTTTGTGTTTACTTCCAGATGACTGCTAAAGCCATTGAATAGCAATGGATATAACAGTAAACCTTGCAGATCTAAACTAGAAACACTTCTGCTTTGCAGTTATTTCTCCTAACAACTGTTTTTTGACATCTGTTAGTTTTCATGTTCCTAATCCATTCAATATTTTCTTTCTAGATATTATGCAGTGCTAATGTTTTGGCTGGAAGGCTATGCAGTACAAAGACAAGTTGTTTCTAAACAAATATTTTTACCAAAGAAAGCTCATAGTTCTATCAAAGAAATCAGTTGAGGGTTTTTTAAACTTGGTCTGCTTTGCATAAACCCAAATTCCTTTTATTACAGGAATATTTATTATGCTTATATTCTTTTGCTGAATCCCGTACTTGAATGGGATTTGGCTAATGTTTTGTCTAGAAGTAATGGTGAGCAACCAGCCCATAGTTACCTACAATTAATGAGTCATCCTGTTAATTATTGTTGTTGTTTGGGTGGTTTTTGTAATAATGACACAATATTAGGACTTTTCTAGTGTTTTGAAGTTTCACCTATTTTGCAATTAATTAGATCAGATACCTCTTTGATGAGATATTTTAATATTCTTGGATACAAAATCTGACTTATATTTTCTTAGCAGATGTTTTCTAGAATCTCAATTACTTATGGGCTGTAAAATATTTCACTATTGTCCGTAATATAAATACCTTGCTCTGTCTCTTTCTCCATCATCTCTAAAGGAGCTGAAGTATCTTGGAATACTTCTTCCTGCTCTGCTAAATTTTTCCATCTCCCTTTACTAGTGGGTCTGTGCCATTGCTAAGATTATTTTTTTTTCCCCTTGAAGTACTCTGTATGTACTAAAGTAATACAGATGTAACGCTACTCGCAATGGAGCTGTGTTTCATCTTAGTTTTCCTCATCAACTACTTCTACTTCATAACTTTCAATTGATTATCATTTGCTCTGCATTTTCTCTTATTATACTATGGATGTTTTTAAGGTTGGCTCCACCATATTTTCCACTGAACTAAGGCAGGCTTTTAGTAACAGTTGTTCTTTCTTCGTTACGGAATTGTGGCTATTCATATCCCACCTTTCATGAACTTCTCTTTCACTTCCAACACACACTCCGCCGCCAGTCAGTGTAGGGTTGTTTTTTTCCCCTTTAGCTTTGTGCATTGTCCTTTTATGGAAGTGTCGTATATATTTGTCCTTATGCCTCTGCTATTTATATAAAGTGTAATCAGATGTGATCATCGGTCCTTAAATGACCATCTGATTCATTTCTGTCATTGTCCTAGCAAAGCCTTGTTAAAATAATATGATTCAAACAGCAAGCTGTTCTGTTTCACTTAGTTCTGAACACACCTTGAAGTTTCTATTAAAAGGGCTTGGCATTCAATTTTTATTACCCTATAGAGAATTTTATTTCTCCTTTTTAGCCTCAAGTTTGAGGCTTCCAGCAGATCTGCCTTCCAGTTCTGGCAATACTGTGACCAAGTTCTTCATTTGCCTCCAGAGCTACAGACTTAGCTGTAGAAACTAGATTTCCTCAACAGTTAATGGGGAAAGGCATGTTCAGCAGGTAACTCATCCCTCCTGTTTTGCTACATATCTTAAATGGGGTTACTGACCTGAGGAAGATGTCTTTCTCTTCACTGGTAGATGGAGATTGCTTTGACTCCACATCTAATTTAAGAGACTTGATCAAAACTAAAGGTAGTTATAGTTGGAGCACTGTGGTATTTTTTCACCTCTGATAGCCTATAACCCTCAGCTATACATTTTCTCTCCTACTGGGAGGGAAATTAGCCCATTTATTTTTCTCCAGGAGAAAAGGTGCTTTTTCTTATATACTGACCTGAGTGCTTTGGGAAAAGATTCCTTTTCCCCATTCCTGGACTTGGCTTCATGAGAAGAACATAATTACCAAGGAAGGTGATTTAGGGACTGATAAGGTCCTGGCACTTTCGTGCTCTCTCCTGGCCTTTGTTAAGTACAGGCTTCTAAAAGTGTCTCTGCTTCTGGAGGACAGCAGAGACCTGTCTGATCTCTTTAGTCACCTCAGTTGGGTGCACTCAGCCTGGAGTTGGATTAGTGTGGCAGTTGGTGATTCAAAGGAAGTTTCCCCCAAAATTATTATTCAGAAGTTTGCCTCACTTCTTAGAAACACTTGTATCTTGGGCCTTTCATCCATTGTTACCAGGTGCATTTTAAACATGAATGACATTAGCCATTGCATCTTGATCTCGTAGTGATGTTGTTTATATGCATGGTATTGTGCAAAGTGCAATTTGACATGCTTATGGCTTTTAATTACAGCTGACCATGGCAAGGATGTCACATCTACCTTACAAGAAAATTGTAACCGCAAGCAGAACTCAGGTGAAGAGACTTAAGAAAACTACCTTTAGATGTATACTGTCAGTGTACTGCAGCTCTTCCTTTATTGCTTTTTTCTTTTTTTTTTCTTTTTTTTTTTCTTCCTTTATTTAGGTGCTATAGATGACTTACTAGACCTGCAACCTGAAGAAAATGGTATGAAACATTAGTGCATGTCTAGTTCATCTGTTTTTCTATTACAGACACCAAGTATAATTTTAATCTTAGAACATAATTGTTTTCATAATCTGAAAGGTTGAATGAAATTATACAGCTGCAATATTTAAACAGTATTAAAGGAAACTCAGTATACGTTCAGAGGCACTATTCTTGATGTTATAATGTGAAGTAAACCTTACTGGGGATGAAATGCATTGTAATAGGTGATTCAAGATTAGCTATACTAGAGTATATCAAATTTACCCCACTTAAATAGGTTCCACTCTGTATACCTTACCCCTCCTATAACATTTCACAAACTTTTCTTTTGGGTTCTTCAGTTGTTATACCACAGCCCTTGGCAATACACTAGTAACAACCAGATTTTATATCAGAAATGTACAAATTATTTTGGCATATGAAAAGAGTATAAGAACTGGTGACTTCTTTCAGCCAGATAGTCGGTTAAATCAGTTATGCTGTTCTCATACACACATGAGAAAGCAGTTTTTCATTCCAGGCTCTACTCCTACCTTTACGCTTTTGTTAGATCTGTGGCAGCTCAAGGAGATGTGCTGTTTGGTTGGTTGGGTTTTTTTAACAAAGGTTGCTGTTTTCCCGTATGTAAAGATCTGTCTAAAAGTTTTATGTTGAGTTTTCATATGCACTAAGAGTACTGCCTGTAATTTCTCAATTGCTTTTCAGTCATATATCTCAAAAGAATGAATAAAAAACTTTCAACAACAATAAAAACAACTGTGGCAACTCAAAAAGCAAGTAAAGAAGCAAAGAAAAAAATCCCTTAGTGTAGTTAAGTCAGTCAGATTGAGAGAGTAATTTGGGATATTTAAAGCACTGCCTTCATGGTAGGTAAGGAAGAGAGAATTTGCAAACACCTTGACTTTGGATTTGCCATGGGCAGTCTCTTGCACTGTGGGGATGGGGAAATTACCCATATGGGGAATCACCCATGAAGGCAGAAACAGGGAAAGTTCCTCAGCTGTCTGTTCAGAAGCAGCCCTAATATGTGGGTAGATAAAGTAGTGATGACTTCTTTTCTGTGATTAATAAAAAAAGGTGAGTGCATGTCTGATAAAGGTCCTTTTTTCTTCTGGTTTTACCCTTACTCAGTTCCGTTCCTTATTGGACCTTCTTAGTGGAGATACAGATAATGCGTACAACTGTTGGTCATACAGGTTTATCTATGTCAGTTGGAAGGCTTTTTGTTAAGTCAGATAGTTAACCAATAGGAAAACAGTTGTGGGGTAGTTACATCAGATAAGGAAGATTATGTTAATGTTACAATATCAGCCATTTACCCTAATTTTACACACTAGCTAGCTTTAGACTAGTGAATATTGTATTATTTTAAGTGAAGCAGTTCAGTTAGAGTTACCTTTTAGTGTGTTTCAGAATCAATTCGTTATCCTAAGTTTCCAATCATGCATCATTGTAAATGTTTTTAGTTTCTCTTCCCATTTTTTTTTTATTTTTACCAAAAAAATGAGGTGTGTTTGCAGTGAGCATTGCTAGAGGCTTTTTTCAAACAACTACAAAAATATAATGACATTCCTTTTTCAGTGTTTTATTGGGAATTTGGGGCTTTTTTTCATGGACATTTATAAGCTTAGGTCTGCATGTGCAGACAGAAAAAAAAGATTTTGACTGAAAATGAGCTGTGAAAACAGAAACAGGAAAAGAAATAATAGAACATTTATGGGTGAGGTGATAAAGTCCATATCATTCTAGTAAATTGCAGAAGTACTACATGAGTAATATCTCAATAAGCAAGGCCGGTTTCAAGATGACATTTATTGCCAACAAGAGTAGAACTTACCACTGCTTACTTGAGGTAACCTGAGCATAAGCACCACCCTGTCCTCCCCTGCCCTGGGTGCGTTGTCCCTGCGGGAATACTGGGAGGACAACGACTGAGATGAGAAATGGTGACTCCTGTGATTTCTGGTGATCGTTCACACTACAGCAAGACCAGCTCATCAGATGTAAAGCTATATGTTGTACTTTCTCCCCCAGTAAAAATGGGACTACTACAATGGGATACCCAGGTGACTCCGAGTTTTGCACTGAGCTGTGCTGCTGCAAAGCTTTTGTTCCATTGTAGGTCATTTGTGGTTAGGTGCAGTGTTGGCTGTATGTCTTAGTAGATCTGTTACTGATGATGCAGCCTTTGCACCTCCCCCTGCAAACCTTCCAAGTTCATGAAGGGGCCTCCTGAAATCACCTTTGAGATGGTGATGCCCTGTAGAGATCAGAGTTCTTAAGTGCCTTTGAATTAGCAAATGTGTTTTCCCTACAGAAGGCTTTACCCCTCTGACTCACCTGGTGAATAACTTGAGGGGGATTGTAGATGCTTGGACAACATTAACATTCTTTGCTGTTTATCTGAAGATGGGAAAGCAGCCTAAAAATTTGTAAGAACAAATTGTCTTCTACAGTATTTTAGTTCTAGTCTAGTGGGAACATCAGGAGAATTGACGTATTTATAATGTTTCTATTTCTAGTTTTCGATCCTTGTCAAGGCATACAGAGGTATATAAAAATGTGAATTAGAATGGAACCGAATCTCACAGCTGACTTCAGTAATGAATAAAATCCTTATGTGTTGGTTTGTTTGTTTCTTGGTACGTAGGTGTGGATTCTGACTCATCTGCCTATTTTGAAATAGTTTTGTGCTTTTTTTCTCCTCTGACTCAACTTCAGCCATTTCACTATAAATTATTACAGCTATTGAAAGGGAACTTTCCTGAGAAGGCAGTTGCATTTAAATTAAATGGCCTGTTGCAACCACTTTGCTACTGTCAGTCTTTTACCCTAACCAGAAAGGGTTAAAGACATCTTTGCAAGTTGTATGCAACTTGGAGAGCTCAGCTGATCTACCTGAACTTTGGAAAACTGAAGTTGCTTCTGTGCCTTACCACAAGTTTGAAGCAAGCATAATTAAGATAAACTGATCTGGCTATCAGTAACATAACATTATCAACACTGTTAACTACCATTTTTTGTACTCTGTGTACTCCCACAGTGGAGCTCTAGTTTCCAAGTACAATAACTCTTGGGCTTCCTTGATAGTTCTTTCACTTTCCAAATATTTTGTAAGCTATAGAAAAGGATTACGATCCTGGTCACATGTTCCATGTATTTTATATAGCCATTTAACATTTCTAAAATAGGAAAAAAATGATTTTAAGGAGTAATGGCTCAAGTGATCTAAGAGCTTCTTCAGCTGCAGTTCTGGTGCTAGAAAACTAGCAAGGGGAATCAGAAGGAAAGTGGCCCCAATTATTTCTCAGCAGCATAAGATAGGAAAAATAAAGATACTGCAACACTGAACAGTGTAGAAATCTCACTCTCTGTAGAGTTGCCTGTTCTTATGGGGAAATAGCAAATAACTCAAGCACTGGTTAGAAGGTCATAAAGGTGATCTTAAGTGTGTTCTCACAAAATTCCAGAATAATGCTCAACTTTTATTTATTTAAAATTTATACCATTCTGGGGGTTGATAGCTTTATATAATACTTCAAAAAGCAACATAAAAGTAGTCTTCTCCAATGTTTTAAATATTAGACTATGTAATGATTTTGGTGTGGTGTTCAATAGATTTTTTTTAAGCATACTTGTAATACTGATTTCAATGAGAAATGAGTCTTAACAGCAGTTAGGTTATCTAAGATAACTGAGGAATTATTTGTTGTATAAGCTACAAGTCCAGATATCCAAAAGAATTAGGTCTAAAATAGAAAACAGCAAATATTCCTGTAAAAATACTCCATCTCACTTAACGTGCAAAACATAGGTTGACTATTTTTAAAAGGTTCCTTCTTTTCTTTGTTCATCTAAAATATGATTTCTCTTGACTTTCTTGTTCTGAGACAGCTTCAAAGAATCAGTTTGTGAGGTCCTTGGAGTCAGAACCTGGTGATAACATGGTGTTACTGAATGAGATTCTCAACGGTTCCTCCCCAGACGATGGGGAATTCAGCAAAGAGTGGACAGCTGTTTTTGGACAGGTTGCACTTGCTGATCTCACCATGAACTCTTCAGCTGGAGATACGGAAAGTACTTCATCATCTGTGGCACCAATGCTGTCAGGCTACTTGCCATCACAGCTGTTAGACCAAAACATGAATGACTTGCAGTCATCTTTACATGGTGAGAACTCATCTTGTTCTGCTATTCAGTTTTAGGTTTTTGAGTATGGGTTTCTGCTATGCAGAAGCTTATGTGACAGCTTATGTTGTACCATAGCTGCAGAAACCTTCAAGTTGAAGTACAGTGTGGCCTGTAGAAAAAAATGTGAGTAGCGTATTTGTTTTTCTAGCTGTGCGCATTCAGTGTTTGTGAATGAAGTACCCAGAACCTGAAGTCAAAATTACCGTCTTGAATGTTTTCATTGAGTTTCTGAAATGTTTTGTAGGCCTTTGAGTTTTTGTTGGTTTTTTTTTTCTGTAACAGAAAATCTGCTTGAGTTGGTTTTACTGTTTAATTCACAACTGTCTCTGTTAAGGGGCCAAAGAACCAAAAATGATTACTGTATTTTGTCTTGGAATACTATTTCTAAACAACGTGGTGAAAATCAGTTGCAGTCATTCATTTTCTGGGTTTTTTGTTTTGTTGTTTTGGTTTGGGTTTTTTTCCCCTAAAGCATCCCATACTGTTGTGTGCAGGGTTATGGCTAAGGATAGAATGGGTTTTCTCATCCTAGCAATCATACAGGTGGATTCCTCTTTTAGGCTGGTTATCAACTCTTTCTTTGAGAGATGCAACTCTTTCTTTCCCTTTTATTTTATACAGTTCATTTTCTTGGGTTTTCCAAGCTGCTGCTGGGAGGAGAGGAAAGAGGGGGGAAACTAGGGCAGAGCTTTCCTGCTGCTGCTTTGGCATTGAGGAGGGGAGGGAGGAAAGCAGACTGGTGATAACCAGCCAACAGCAACTACCTTCATCCTCCCCACAGTCCTGCTAGATTTCTCCTAGGGCTTTGCAGGCTAGAGGAGGACCTTGCCTTTTTAGGCTCTAACCCAAGTAGTTTAAATCTCATCTGGGGAAGAGTGATGTAGGAAAGACTAGCAGACTGATTCCATCCTGAAGACTACTTCTTGGAACCCGTGCAAATGGTATAATCATACATGATGTAAAATGACCTGTGACATTTTGGCAAGAACAAAGGCAGGCAAATTTACCTGATAAATACAGTTACCACCAGCACTCCTAAAGCCAGATACTTGTGTTCACTGACTTCAGCGTTTAGATGGAAACTGGGGGAGCGAAATTTGCAATGATGCACAGTTTTAGATAAATTTTTATGATGAGGTCATGCATACATGAGTATGATTGATAGAGTGAAGAGGGACTGGAAGAGTGTAGGATTTGACCTCATAAAATATGAGCTGAAAAAAAATCAAGAGGTTTAGTCATTGCATGATCAAATTAAACAGTTTGTGACAGAAGCAGACATGGTATCTATTGAAAGGGAAAAAAAGAACAATGAGAAAAACCTTTTCTTGAGACAGAGACATAAAGAGATTTAAGCAAAGTACTTAAAATGGCAACAAATATTATGGGATTAAATTTTTTCAGAGTTTTTACGTATTTTTATATGTAAACATGTTTTTGAAGGAAAAATATTTTTGAGGTGGAGATGAAAAACGGGCTGGGTACCCTTTCTGAGGCTGTTGATACAGCTCTCATTTGTACAAGACACTGGCACTGGCTGTGCTGTTTGCACTTCAGAATCTGAGCTCACGTATTTTTCATTCAAGGAACGCTACAAGTGGAAAATCCATTCCAGTCAACATGGTATCCGAAAACCTTTTTGAATAAGAAAAGGAATAAATCTGAAATGGAAGAATAAAACATGTTGATGTTTCCAAATGAAATTCCAGGGGAAAGATTTGTCAAAAGATTATAGTAATTGATCTGCTGGCATTTGAAAACTCAGGGCTAATCAGCTGAGTGATTGTATCTGATAATCACCATGTTCCCAGTTGACTCTGGTTGCCAAGTAAAATTCATTTTTTAAACTAACTTTCATAGACTGTTTTCCTTTTTAAGTTTTGTGTTTCTCATTCTCTAACAGAAGGTGAAATTCTGGCCATTTTATATCTTGTCAAATCTGAGATTTAATCTTAAACTGCATTTCACTTCACAGCATTTCTTTCATAATCTGATTTTATCAACAAATGTGGAAACAGAGACTTCATTTTTTATTTTTTTGTAACCAAATACTAACCAGAGTTTAAACATATCTCAACATCCAAGTTGCAAATGTTAGAATAAGTGAATTAGGGATATTTTTGCTGAGCACTTGTGATACATCCCTACACTTTTTTTTTTTCCCTCCAAATTGGTAGGATTGCTTAATAATTATTCAAGTGTGAGGTGCTACACTGGAGCCTCAATGTTGCATACTTCCTGTGTGAATTTGGCCTTAAGACCCTAAAGATTCTTAAAACTCACATGCTTAACTTTAAGCACATTAACTTTTCTATTAACTTCAGTGGGATTACTTACTTATTTTACGTTAAGCACACTCATAAATCTTTGGGGCTTTGTTTTCTTTCTGCCTCAGATCTTAATCTGTAAAACAGGCACAATGCTATGCAGGTTATAAACTGCTATGGTCAGGAATTCCCAGCTCAGATTTTTTTCTGGCTGTATTTATAGGCAGGATCTAGCACAATGAGACTTTGAATTGTTACAAGACTACCAGGTGCTGGTTTAAAATACATATAATTGTGTGTGTGTGTGTGTGTGTGTGTGTATAAGAAACAAAGCATGCTCCCAAGAAATCTTTTATATTTTCCTCCAGTTGCAGCTCTGTAGTTTGGTTGTCTTTTCACTTTTTCAGCATTAGCTTTCTCTTTCATGAAGGTTATGGCTTCATTTACTTATTCAGACCACTAAGGGCTCCTCTTCATCTTCCCTATATGTGCATATATTCTGGTTGATAAGAAAATGTGCAGCTCACCATTTCTATTTCTAATTTTATTGTGGTAGCATTTGTGAAGATGCTAGCTAAAAAGTAAGCCGTTTGGTTTCCTTGCTGTCTCAGCAATAATCTTTTGTCTAGTCATGTAGCAAAGCCGTCCTGTGAACAGGCAAACCAGAACAGGCTTAGGCCCAGCAACTGTTTTCAAACTGATAGGCTGCAGTTGGTTTTGTTTGTTCTCTGTAGCTCACTGTGAGTGGACACTAAAAACATAATTCATGAAAGTATTTAATAAAAATTCTGGCAGACTTTCCTGGTAAGTTAGTAAGTAACTTCCAGGTAAGGTGGGTAAGTTAATTATGAAAGCATCACAACTTTTCTGAAGCATTTTTGGTTGGATGATTTTGTTGCTGCTGTTAGGTTTTTTTTGTTTCCTAAGTGGTGTTTGAGCTACCTGTGTTTCAGTGAACAGAAAACCAGACCACAGCATCTCTCCCGAGGGATGGCCATGCTACTTACCCAGCCTTAGTCCAGGGACTCAAAAGCAGGGCTCCAAAACAGTTAAGTGGTCTGCAGTGTTTTGTTCTGTGGTTTGCCAGTCTCATCAGTGTAAACCAACATCAGTGAGGTCTGGGGGAGCCAACTCCTGATCTCACTGAAGTCACTGGGACTTGCACAGTATTGTATTGCCATACAATTTATCCATTGCCATCCACTGACATGGGAAAACACTTTATAGCAATGCATCTCCAAACACCCCGAAAGCACTGCAGTTTACTGTAGTTTGTGTAATGTCCTCTGCCATACTCCTCATTTGTAACACAAGCAGAGAAAATGCCTGGAAAAGTATGTCATTCTGAAGTGTTAGGGCCATACTTTTCATTATTTATGATTAAAATTTTCTTATTCGAAAGAGTAAACTTCAAAATCTCTTTTTTTCAGGGGGCACAGGCTAACTCATAAGCCTTTGTCACCCTTGCCTAGAACAAACATATGTGAGCACTTTGCATTTAGATTTTGAAGAACTTTTTTCTTTCCTTAGAGATACAGAGGATATTTGTGGCTTTAAATTTCCTTCTTAATTCATATTATTTCATACAAACACTGTTCTTGCCACTTTTTAATAACACAGCTTGAGCTTCAGACCTTTTATATTCAAGGTAAGGTCAAAGAGTGATGAGAATAATCAGAGAGAGGAAGGGGTTTTGTGACTTATACAGTAACTGTCAGTAAAGTACAGCAACTGGGTACCAGTATCTGATGGGGGGGGGGGGGGGGGGGGAAGACAAAATGATTAGAAAAGGATGTGAAAGCATGAACTTGTAGAAAAAACAGAATGAATAAGGAAATGCTAACTGGGTACAGATGAGTATCCTGTTTGTTCATACTGCAGAGTTAGCTATGCCAGATCCCTGAGATGGATGGATAATTAATCAGGCTGTACTTAAAGGAGATGTTACTGAAAGTAGAAATGTGACCTCCAGTCTTCTAAATGTGATAAAGCATGAGAATTTAAGTATCTTAAGCCAAGGATAAAAATGCTCAGGTTTTTTCCTAATACATTTCTGAACTAGGGGTCACCACTTCTACTTCATTTTCCTTAGTTCATCTGGCATCACTAACTGTATTTATCATTACTTTCTTGTAGCTATGGAATATGCATATAAGAACAAAAGATTGTTAATACCCAGTTTCACTTTTTCCTGCATAGTTACTCTTTTCCTTATGAGACGACCCTTTCAGATGAAGAATAAAGAAATGCTCCATTAAAACCTAGTTTTAAGTTAACTCAAAGTAGTGCATCTTGAATTCAGTTCTTCAAAGCACTTTTCAAGATTTTATTCTTTTTCCATAATTAATTATTTCAAAATTAACTAAAAAATCTGGGGTCTCTAAATATTTTTTTTTTCTGGAATAGTTGACAAAATGGAAGTGTTTGGAACTGTACAGAAAGGTGGAAAAAATGTTTAGCGTATGTGATATTTTCACCCAAATGTAAGTAAGTGATACTCTTCTCCCTGTGGCTATGCTTAACTGCTGTACTAGCCTTTCAGTGAACAAGTATTAACTGTGATTAGATAAAAGAAACAAGAGAAAATCTTCTTTTTTAGCCAGGTTAAAGGTTTGAAAGGAGTACAGTTGCCTGAATCTAGAGGTGATGGAAGTGATCCACAGATATTCTTTTCTTAAGGATGTTGCTTGTTTGAAATATCTGGCTGCAGATTTCTTGTGTAGAAGGAAAGATATGAACAACCATAACCATAAATGTTTTGCTCACTTGTGTGATGTGCGCATAGTGCTGCCAGACACTTGGAGTTAACAGAGTCATTTTTCATGCTAATGCTGCTGTATTATTGAATTTTAGGATGGGCAGCTAACAGTGTGAGCCCGCCATCTATACCACAGCCAGCACAGAAACCAAACAGCCTGAATGTGAACGCTAACAAGACACCCCCCTTGAGAGGTGATTCAGTCATGTATTTTTTCAGTTACTTTGCTTTTCCTTTTTAGCTGTGACTCTTGTATCTTTCTGGTTACTCTATCTTCCAGCTACTCTATCGTAATAAAACCTATATTTATAGTAGTTACATGTCAATAAGCTTGTGCTCACTAATGAATCACTTTGTTTCGGTGCTGATTATATGTATATTTCTTTGGTAGGCTTCAGTGCTTGTAGTATGTCAGGAGGGTACTTTGTGTTACTATGTAATGAGGGAGTTGAAACTACAGTTTCTTCTGCTACTTTAATTTTGAGTCACCCAGAATAGCGTGTGCATGCACTTTGTCTATGCTGAACAACGTTTTGAAGCTCTAGGAGGATATTGTGGCTAAAATACAGGCTACTGATAAGGCAGAAGAGCCCTAATTGCAAATTTTGTTTATAACATACATCATACCAGTAATCGTCTGTTTGAAACGTCATTCACTTAATGCAGCTGAGCCAAGAGCGCTCAGTTGGCATCTACTGAGACAAAGCCGTGCTGATTTTGACTAGGGTTTTCTGGATAAGTGAACCAAAAATATGTTGAATCCTTATTGCTGGTTTGTAGCCTGTTCTGTGCATTCTCATTTGATCAGAGGCTATGTCGAAGATGTTCAGTTCAGAAGAAGAGTAACTTGTGTTTCTTCCCCTGCCTCCTGGGATTAAAAGACTGATGTTTTTCAGCTCAGCAAAACAAAAAAAAAAGAGGGTTAAGGTGTTTTGGAAGCTCTTTTGGAAATGAGTGTGATACAACAGCCACGGTGCTTCACCAGAAAAAAGAAACAGCCTTCAGCTGCTTTGAAATCTGTGTTTATGAAAATGGCATATACTCCAGCCTTGCAGAGCCTAAGATGAATGTCATGCCAGGCAGAGTCTATTTTACCCATAAATTCCTTGTGTCAGAAGGAATGCTTTCATGGAACATCATCTCTCTGAGTGGAAGAGCACAATTTACTTCACTATCAATACAATACTTATTTTATTACCAGTATAATTAAGCATAGGGTCACAAAAAACAAAGCAAGTGATGGTGGACCTTCCTTATAGCAGCCAAAATTGTCACTGCTTTAACCTGAACATCTGCCCTGTTGGAATAAGAGAAGGTAGGAGACCTTTGTGAAATCTGCAAATCAGTATAGACACATTAGGTGCAATAGTCCAACATATTCCTGGCTCACTTTTTTTTTTTATAAAAATCAAATAATACACTCTAATACTAGAAGCTGTACTTGGGACTGGCTCTCAAACATATCCCCTCTCTCTCCAACCAATACCTTCCCATTAAACTTTGTTCCAGATGAGTAATGACCTTGTGTGGTCATATATAGGGGGGGACAGAACAGTTGCACGAACTGGAGCTAGGTGAAGGAGTTTAGTCCTGTAATAGAGGTTGAAAGTAAAGTTTGCCCTCACTTTCCTTTTAGTTTGTTGCAGGCATGCAGGTACATTGCAGACAAAATATCTTTCATGAAATGAAGCTAGACAGGGTGAGATTGTTTCTACTTTTAAGTAAAGCATTCCTGTACTTACCATGGTAGGAGGCATACAAAATGCACAAGCGGACAGATGTAAAACATTTATTCTTACTAAAGTTCTACGTTCAGTTAAAGGTAGTGTTTAAAAATGCCATCACTCATTCTGATTTTCTTCTCAGAAGTGCCCTTAGTAATAAATTAGACAATAGCATAGCATTTGTTTGACCTCAGTCAAACACTCAGTCAGTTTTGTTTTAAAATAGCTGACAAGTCTGCACTCTTTTCACTTTTTTTTTTTTCTTCCAGAGCCTACAAAGAATCCTAAAGACTTGACTGCCTGGTTCAGTCTCTTTGCTGACCTTGACCCGTTATCCAATCCTGATGCTGTTGGGAAAACTGATAAGGAACATGAATTGCTTAATGCATGACTCAGCTGCCTATGGTAACTCACATTCTTCCATTCATCAACACTATTTTGGAGTTTTAAAAAAAAAACCTAAATGAAAATTAGTATGCTATCGTGAAACTGTGAAGTATGTGCCATGATAATAAAACTAAAGGGAATGAATCCCCTTTTATATAGGTACAGTTATTTGCTCTTGTTTTGTATAAAGAGTTCGCATTTATTTTCTACGTGGATTTACAAGAATTAGGGCAGATTTCTTGCCAAATTAGATTATCAGCTGAAACACTGTCTTTGCCTGAGGTGATGCAAAGCTAACACTGGAGTGAAATACAAATTGCAGACCTATTTTTTTATAATGTTTCTTGAGTAAATGAAAAACAACATGTAACTGGGGAGGCTGCATGAGTCCGACATCTATCATGTATATAAAATATATATCAATGCTCTGTTAAAATGCCAACTAAATTTGTTTTGTTAGTACTTGCAGTGAAAAGCCTGTGCCAGGGCTAATTATTGAAGAAATGCAATTGGGTCCATGCAGCCATGGAAATTGCACCCTTTCTGATTTAACTTCTTAGACAAACTGCACTACATAAATAGAAGTCATGCCCAGCAGGCTTCTTTTCTAAAGTTTCTCTCCATTGCACCAACAGAATTTACACCTGTTTGCAGAAGTTTCTGACAACTGATGCTTTACCATGCTTTCAAAACATTCATATTTCTGTTGGGAGTATTTTTCATCCAGTTTCTTTCTGAAGCATGTGTTATTTTGAGCTTGCTTTGACATTAACTCTTTAATAAAATGATTTTTGACAAAAAGGACCTTTTATTCCCACTGGAATGCTGGTGCACTGTTGAATTGGTACGTAATAAGCATCTGAGAATAAAACATATGACCAGTTTTAGACAGTACCTAATAACTTGCCCTGTTTCAGAATAGTAATCCAGTAGGACAGTAAGAAAATCTGAACACATTTGGTGTCCCTTTGCCTCCCCGTTCTCATTTTACAGAAAAGGAAGGGAAAAAGGATGTGGCAGTAGTCATTTAAGAGCACAAGTTGTGTGTGCTGTACTTTTGCAATTTATTATGTTTGGTGCTTTTTAAATTCAGTTTATTTTCCTTTTGTGTTGGGGAAGCTTTTCGCTACCAGTTAACTGTACACTCAGGTAGACTCGTGGTCTATTAGATAACTAAATACCTGCACTGGAAACCTGAAAATAGTTATGTAAACATAGAAGTTAACTGAATTGACCTGCTTCTTCTCAAATGCAGCGCACATCACTGACGGCCACACTAAGCAGCATTAATGTGCACTTGACAGCTCCTAGCTAAAACACTACATACTGTGACTATGGGGGTTGGACTGACCAGAGTTCATTCATCTGGCTGAACCTTCAGCATGTTTGAAACACCTCTGTTCAAAACTGTAGGCCTGGAAGTATCAAGGTACTTCAATTTTTGCCAGAGAAATTCTTCAGATGTTTAGCAGAATGTTTTCACATACAACAGTTGTCTCTCTGTGCAGTACCTGACCCACCCATGTTACCAGCACTGAGGCTGGTAACAAAGGCATAGAAGCTGATGTAGATGTCTGACTGTTTCTACAGATAAAACTTGATTCCTTCCACAGCATTTCCTGGTGTTTGCTACTGGCAGCCCCTTGCACAATAAGCTGTCTTTTGTGAGATGCATAACCTTCTTGAGCATTGTGGGGGTAGCCTGAACTCCTGACTTTGTGCTTCAGCCTCTGGCAGTAAATAAGACATCTACAAAGTGGATTAACTGGGAAATACCTGAGGTTTATGCTGGGGTGCACTTATGCTTATGAGTGCTAGTTTGCACTCATAATACGGGATTTTGCCCAAAGTTCTCTTCATCTCAAACTGTAATTATCTGCAATGCCAGAAATATTAGCAGCTCAAGGGATAGACAGACTGTTTTTCAGTCCAACTGGGTTACCACTGAAATCATAAAACAGATTCTTGCAACTTTAAGCAAGTCTGTGGTTGCTAAATTCACTCTGGATTACATTTGCCTTGATAGTTGCTAAAACACTTGTGGACAATCTACTCTAGCATTTTTAGTACCTGAAGCAGTTAGGCTAAAAACAAAGATGAGGCTGTACTGCCTTCAAAACAGCTAATTAACTCTTTTTTAAGACATTAAAAAATGTTTGGGTTTGGTTTTTAGGTCACAGATTTTAGACTTTCCAGATTTAAATTAAAAATCAAAAAAGCTCCTGTCTTGAGTGGAACAATTAAGGGCATTGCACAAGTTCAGCTAAAGATGCTCTGAATCCTCATCATGATTTTAGGTAGAAAAACATCTGAATGATTGTCCCTTTTACACAAGAAAAATATTGTTTTCTTCTCCCTCCTCCCCCCAACCATCAGTACTAATAAGTTTATATTAAGGTTCCTTGTAGTATATAATTTTTGAAAGTAACTTTAGCTTTGAATTCTCAGTCTCTGCCCTATGCAATTTTTTCAAACTTTCAAATAAAAAAAGGAGCCAAAGGTATTTGAAATATGATTAATTTTGCTTAAAGAAAAGCAATTGAAATCCCTATGTACAATGCATTATTATCATGAACATTTATTTAGCTGCAAACTAGAGCAAGAAAGCTAGCATCCTGCAAATAGGCTTTTTTTCCAGGCAAAAATCTTAATTACGGAGTTACAAGCAATACTTCCCTGCTTCCAATGAGGTGTAGGGCACGTGCTTCTCAGCAGTCTGGGATGCAGTGTCACTACATACCCCAGTGCTGCTGGGAGAAATTTTCTGTGATGTAGTAGGGGGGACAACAGGGTAGTTCATCATCTTGGTGAAGTTACAGATTGATTGTTCTTACCCCCATAATGTTCGTCTTGATTTAATATGCTTCATTCCCATGGCTTATTCTGGGCTAGTAGTGGTTTGTTTTAAAATAAAAACAGCTGCTGAGCCCCTATGGCAAATGAAAACAGAGGTAATTGATTAACTGTCTTTATCAGGAAGTTTATTAAAGTTGATGTAATTGATTTTGGTGAGTCAAGGTTTCTACAAATCTAAGAACAGCTGCTCCAGGGGAACTGGAGCATGCGCTTTGGGAACAGAACAGCTCAGAGAGAAAACTAACAAGTAACTTTTTCAAGTAACTTTTCTGGCTTTGTTAAGCAATTAAAATTAACTTCCAACATACTATAATACGACTTACCTTGTTCCCTTCTGCTGGTTCCATATCCATGGGCACGACATTGTTGTACATCGAAGCGGGACCACCTGCCTCCCCCAACACCCTTTTTTAAATGGGTGCCCTTCAAATGTTAGGGGCTCCACATGATAGAAAAAACAGGACTGCCTAAGCAACAAGGCAGCTGAGAGTGGAGAAGGAGCACAGGAAGCAGGTTTGCTCCAAGTGGGAATAGCAGCAGGCCTACAAGCCCTGACAGCTCCAGGATCAAAGCCTGGAAATGCTCAGTAGAGCCAGAGATTAAACATGAAGACACAGCTCTTGGGTGTTGGGCATCGTGATAAGCTTTCCCAGGGCCTCTGCCTCTTCCATTTGCCATCACATCCCACCACAGTGTCATGAGATACTGGATGAGCACGACTGAGGAAGGAACGAATGGTGGTTTTACTGTCCATGCTTGCTGCTAAGAGTATGTGGGGTGTAGTAGCCCCAGGGCAAAGGAAGAAGAGCTGGAAGGACTTATCTTCTCTGAGTGCAGTTCCCAAAGATTTTTCAGACTAGCTGCAAGACACTGACATGGTAAAGATGCAGCCCCTTATCACTTCTGCTGGCTCCCTTCCTACAGTTACTGCTTCCACCAGTGTGGTCCAGCACAAGCTGCTTTTTTCTCCCTATCAGGGGGCACAGAGCAGGCCAGTACGGAAGAGCTGGGCAGTGCAGTTTGGCCCAGCCCTCCTGACTCACCTCCTCCATGAGGGTTAGTTGCAGGCTTTGGACTTGGGCCATAATAAGCCACAGTCAGATAGGGACCCAGAGTATTTATAAGGGTTGTTTATAGGTATGTAAGTAACCAAAAGTTGAGTCCTCACTGCAACCCGGGCACACTATCTCATCTAGCATTTGCTGTATAGCCCCCTCTTTTTAGCCTACTTTTAGTTTCTGCTCCTTGTAAATGGCGTATTTTTAAACAAGCCATCATATGAGAAGGCAGGAAGCAGAGCAACAACCAAGCTTGACAGTAGCCAAGCAGCAGAGAGTCTGCCTCATTGGAGAAGCAGAAATGCTAAGACAGTCTAGTGCTATGCTGGCAAACCAGGTACAAACAAGCTGCTTCCCGCTGCTGGGGCTGCTGGCATTGCTCTGCATGTGCTCAGTGCACAGACACCAGCTGCCATGATGCACAGGAAGTGAGCACCATGTCCACACACACACACACACACACACACACACACACACACACACACACACACATACTCACTCCCATGACAGTAAATGAGGGTTCTATGGGCAAACAGGCCCTGCAGGTTCAGCAAATTTGGCCTTGGGAGCCCATCCAGCCTCCAGCTCCAAGGCCGACTGACGTTACAGTCAATCAGACCATTACCCAGGTGTTCATTAACAGTGCTCTCCTAAGCATAAAATTGACTTTTCTCCTCATTGACTAATTAGAAACCAGTATAATCTTCCCTTTAAGTAATACAAGGTATTTGCCTGTACAGGGGCCCACCATGTTAAACATGCTGGAGCGAGTCCAGATTAGGGCAGGAAGATGCTCTGAGGTCTGGAGCACCTCTGCTGTGGAGACAGGCTGAGAGAACTGGGCTTGCTTTGCCTGGAGAAGAGAAGGCTCTGGGAAGACCTTATTGTGGTTTTCAAGATATAAAGGAGGCCTGTAAGAAAGACTGAAAGAGACTTTTTACCAGGACCTGAGGATAAGGGGCAACAGTTTTGAACTGAAAAAAAGGCAGGTTTAGATTAGCTACTAAGAAATTCTTCCCTGTGAGGGTGGTGAGGCACTGGCACAGGTTGCCCAGAGAAGCTGTGGCTGCCCCATCCCTGGCAGTGTTCAAGGCTGGGCTGGATAGGACTTTGAGCAACCTGGTCTGGTGGAAGGTGTCCATGGCAGGAGGGCTGGACTAGAAGACCTTTAAAGGTCCCTTTCAACCCAAAAAGTCCCAACCCAAACCATTCTTGCTATGACAAAGCAAGGAGACTGCCATTTGCTGTGC